GTAAAATATAGACAAAGCAATGTCGCAATAATAATATTAATGTCTACTACTCAATGTTAAGTTTTAATGATAAAAATTCTGAATATTTTTTTTAGTAGTATAAAAAAATTAATTCATTATTCTAAAAAAATGTATTGAAATAAAGAGTGATTAAATTGAAAGATACATAAATTCTTTCATTTTATCATCTTTCCTGTATGTCTTGGCTCAAAAACTTTTGGATTCTTTATTACATTTAACTGAAATTCAAATGCGAATGTTGAACATGCAGAATAACAAATCAATAACAAAGATGAATCAAGACTCGTTCGTTGGCACAGTGTATACGGAACTTAACACGTGCGTTTCCGCATTCCGGTTTCCTTTCTTCTCGTTTCTCTCCTCTCGTTCTACCGAGCACACACCTTCACACTTTCCTTCCGCAAGCGGAAGGGGTGCAGAAGAGACGCGAGGGGGATGGAAGCGAGCCGAGAAAATTGGAAATCGCTGCGAAATTGCACTAGCAGGTTGCATGCCGGGTAGCCAAGATTATCTTCGCCGCGTTATCACTGCACGGTGCGAGAGGATGGAGATGGTAGTTGGAAGATCGTGGGAGTCAATAACGGCAAGCGGACATAAAATACCGAGGCGCGGAATGCGCATGAAACGGATACATGCGCAGTTATGTCTGTATCATACCATTCTATGATATGGCATATTTTGTTATATTATCAAAATAATTATGTAGAACGCTCAAATTTTTCTGATGGAATGTCAAAATCTGCAGAGTTACTTTCAATATGCTTAAGTTTTCTACATAATTATTTTGATAGTTTAACAAAATTATTTTCAGATTTATATTTATTTAAATTTTTAATTATTTCAACAAAATTTTTTCTAATTATGTTTATAGCTGGAAATTTATATTGTTTGGGTGAATCATACAATTGTGATCAAATCGCGAAAAGAGAGAAGCCAAGATAAAACGGCGCTTTTAACGTCCGTCTGCGCATCAATTTCATAATTATAGTGATGCGTGGCACGACGTCCACAAATCACCGCATCTGTTGCTGCAGCTTTCGGGAGATGTGTGTTCCTCGATGCAGGGACTGCTGGCGAGCGGTCGTATTCTCCGGGCAAATCCGGGTATACGGGAAAATTAGATCGTGACGTCGGCTATGTAACAAATTGATGAGCGGAAAATCAAATGGGATTTATGGTCTTGCGATCGCCTGGCAGGTCGACATGGCGCGCCACATTTGCAATCGCATGGAACGGCGCAGAAAGCGTATAGGAATTTTCATGTAATTTTAGCATCGACGCAAATTTCCGCAGAAATCAGAAAAAATACATATATAGTCAATGAGTAATTATAGGAAATTGTTCAATGATTTGTTTTTTGGTTAAATAAAAATATTATTTTATAGCGAAGATAATAAAAATATATTATTTTATATTTTACACTTTGTATTTTCGCGCATGTATAATTCCAGTTTTGTAAAAACTACGTCAAAAAAATGGATTTTCATAAAATTGTTAAAATAAATTAAATTAAATCTATTATATACATATATAACGTATACGCACAATCAAATCGAAATGATATTATACGATAAACAAGTATGGATATCATGGGTAATAGAAAGCAGTGCCTGTATAGTCATACCCGGGTACAAAAAAAAAACATCAGCAAAAATACTACCAATATCAGGTAACACCGCTTTTTCGGAAGTGCTTTTAGCGCATTTAAAGTCCATATCGTACTATAAAATCGGGCAACAATTCTAACGAACCCATTGAATTCCACGCCACGAACCGACACATAGGCTCGCGTACACAGAAAACGCATCTGAGTGCATCTAAACGGAAAAATACCTTTACGTATGCGAATAAAAAAAAGACAGAGAACTCGCGATTGTGTTGTCGCACAGCAATAACGTAGATACATCCGAGAAATCGAGAGTACTCGATTTAATACTCGATTTTATTACTGGTGTAACAATAGTACGTAAAATGGTCGCATTCTTCATGCAGAAGTTTGCACAAATCTTGAATAATCGATGAAATAAATTAAATATGTATGAATAAATTTTCAATCAATTTGATATTTGTATATTTAAAATAGATCGTATTTATCCATTTAATTTTTATTAGAAAACACAGATGTGGATTTGTTTACTTTTTTTATCTTTTTTAATTTACTATACATTACATAATGAGCTAAAATCGAAGTATATTATTAAATACATGCGTTTTAGCAGAAGTTTAACAGATATGTTACTACAATACAAAAATAAACAGTAAAGTACTAAAGTTTTAGTTTTTATTTTATTGTTTTATATTTAAGAATGATTTTATTGTAATAATAATATCGCTTTGGTTAAAACGAGAGTGTAAACACAATATAATTTAAATATAATTTTCACGATTTTTAATATTCCTTTACTTTGTGTTTTACTTTTTATCTACTTCTAAATTTTTTCGCTTCTTTTTACCTTCTCTAAAATTTTCACGGCACACTTGGATAGATTCTTTATGACATGCCCGGGTTAGTGTACCGCGGCATACTAGTTAAAAAACCTTGAAATAAACCATATCTCCTCGTTTAATTTTTATTATTACTATAAACGAAAAATAGATGAGAATTTATATAAAACTGCTATCATCCTGTTAAGCTACTTATCTTGAAATAATTACTGGTTCTAAAACCTGCAATTGAACTTGCTTCGTTTCATAATATTTTCCACAATTCGCGCGTTTATAAATTAAGTAATATGAATAAATTCTACCGATCTAATACGTTGTATGTAGTATAAAATGGACTATGATTACGGTTATTTAATACTATTATACAAATGTTTTGATGCATTTTTTGATTGATTAGTTAGTAAAATTCTTTCTTTCGATTGATCAATCAAATGCTTCGAAACATTTGTAATCCCAAGTGAATCGCACCCTACATCTATACTTATTAAACTTTTATTGGAAAGTAGATGCGGATTGTTTATATAATCACGTTGTTATGCTGCTTATCTTCGAACAGTTTTGTCTGAGAGCTGCAATTAGATTAATACTTTATTTCATAGCTTCTGCAACTCATTTATCCGATGGCAAGAACAAGCATCTGTCAAAAGTGCTAGATTTTGAGTTACAAGTACTTGTCTCTCAAAGCTATCTGGCGATCGACCGACCAGCGCCGGTCGACGGGATGAAATATGATAGTCGTTGCCCGCGCCACGCCCAGTTTATCATATTTCTTGAAGTGCATTATCATAATAGCATCGTGCATAGGATCGGTCGGTCGTCGTGTCGTCGTTCCGTCGATGACACACCACGTCTTAAACTCACGCAGAGATCGATGCGACCAGCATTGCTTTGTGTCGCGATGCCATTCCGGCAAGGAACTTGAAAGCAAACGTCTATATATTTAACCTTTATAATAAAAACTCTTTAAGGAAGAGAGAGCGTTTTTTGTCGATGCGAGTTCTTGTTTAGGTAACTAAAACGCATATTACTTTAATAACGCGCATCATCAGGTTTGAATGGTAGCGATAATGATTGTCACATTTGAATAACAATTGCGTCTGTCATGTGCACAGATGTAATTTAAAAAAATTTGTTTTTCTTTCGTTTTTATACTATGAAATAAAATAATTTGTTAGAAATTTAATTTACTTGAAAAAATAATAAAAATAACAGTAAAAATTTAATAACAAAACTGTAAAAATTTTCTATTCAAAGAGGTACAAAGGAACGTTGCAGAGAATAATTCTCGATACACAGAAAAATGGCGAAGTATAACGACTTGGTTTGTTGCATGTCTATTGTACTACTGAATTAACATCACAAATTGCCCAAAACTGTTGTAAATTTAAATATAATTTTTTATATATACAATAATTTTTTTACATATACAATAATTACAAAATATCATTTGTTTTCTTTTTCTAAAATGTAGGATATTATCTGAAACAATTATCTAGCATATTATGTAAAGTATACTATATGAATACTAAAATCATGCTACAGCTTTGATTACAATATTGTGTCACGTTATAAAATCTCATATGCGCATACTAATGGTTTTAATATTTAAGGTTTTTTTCGTAATTATAGTATACTGAATGTTGTGTAAAATATTTTTATCGCTTTCATTTATCTTTTATAAAGTTATAAAAAATATTTAAGCTTATAATTAAGAACTATTTACGAAAATTTTCACGACAGTTTTGATTCAAATATATTATAATAATAAATTATGTTTAAAATAAGATATATAGTTTAATCTGCCAACAATAATAATTTTATATTCAAATAAAAATTAATAAGAGAAATTTAATATATTGAAAATTTCTGATGGTTGCGTTAATATATCTTTGTGCATTATATTCTTATATTATACGTTTATACACATACGATTTTTATATTTTAATATATACATATTTATAATACAATATCTCTTCAGTTTCTTTAGAATATTATTTACAATTATTGTAATATAATTAATTATTTTATGTACTTGTATCACACACACTTCTTCTTTTTATGTATTTCTCTTGCATTTAATATATTATTAGCTATTTTATTTAGACAAAATTTGGATTTTCCTATACTAATTTAATTTAAAACTTAATTTTCTTCTCTAACACATCAATTAACAAAAGATAGAGTCATATACAAAATTATCATGAGAATTAAGCATACTCATCTAATATGTTCTAATATGTATGAATTTACAATGATAAAAGAGCAACTATACAGAGAAAAAAAAGTCAACTATGTGTCCTTTTCCAATGCAGAGCGCGTTATGAAAAGACACACGAGGGCGATAGATATAGTCAGGTGGGGATTAAATCAACTTTTCTTTTGTCTCGTAAATCTTCGTAGAGAGACGCAGCATTTTCATTCATGCGAATCATTCTCTCTCGATTTTTTGTTGAAACTCTCGCAGACATTTGTTATGAATTTTATTTGTGATTTATCGAGCCTATTATTAATTTTGTATATTTGTGTGTTTTCAGCAAAATCGAATATGTTAATAGACATCGAACCAAAAAAAGAGACGATCGTGCGAGCAGGCGAAACTCTACAGATTCTCTGCACCGCTCCACAAGAGCAGCTTCGTGTTTGCCGTGTAGAAATACCTGGTGAGGGTAGCATTGTCCTAACCGGGTCAGACCCCCCGTCGGAAGACGGCAATATTGAATATTATGGAAAAGGATTACACTCTGGTGAATGCGGTGTCCGTATCGCAAAAGTGAAAGAAAGTTACGATGGCACCTTCAAATGTTCCTTGACGACCACGAATGCTCGACAAGAGTCAACTGCTTCTCTTAATATTATCGTCACGAGTGAGTTCTCATTTTCTATTTTGATTTGATGATATTTTAGTTTATCAAAATTATTAAATATAAACTTGATGTATAATATCAAAATTTTAAAGAAAACGTATTTTTAAGTTGTATTTTTACTAATTGTAAGAAGATACGTGTGTGTCAAAGAGCAACTATACACACAGTAAGAAGGTATAAACGATGTATTATATTAAGATATGGAAATAACTCATAAATCGTGTAACTTTTTTGAAGAAAATATTCATAAGAAAACCTTAAAAAGTATTTAATAAGCGTAATTTCTAGAAATATCTATGTAGGGGTATACATATATTTTTTCAATATATAATAGATTCACACACACGAATATTGGATTTAGTTCTTCCACTTTAAATATAAAAATACAACTCGTATAATTATTTTAATATCATGTACATTCAATCACTTTAATATTTAATCTAAACTTTGTGATATGTTGATTTTCAATTTTTATCTTAATTTTTTTATTTAATAGCAATTAAATTTTTATTTAACTTTTGATTACATACAAATAATTATATATTACACATAAACCTATAATTAAAAGGGTGTAAACGAGGGATTGTGAAATGCGAGTAATAAGTAAATGAGAGGTAGGATACTTTTGACAAAGAGGTTACGATGAAAAGAGAAACATTAATTAGAGCAAGAAGCAAAAAATGAACGCTTGTTCCAGTCGCTAGAGCTGTATTCGAAAAGTAATTAATCTTCCTTAAAGAAATTGCTTACGGAGACTGAAATAAGCGCACCCAGAGCAAAATTACCGTTTAAGATGAACCCGATAAAGATAAATGGCGAGATTCATGAATATCTTAGAAGAATCTGCTTTCATGTTATTTTATGCAATACAAAAATACGTCGTCGTAAAAAACAGTTAAATTTAAGTTACTGTTTCTGCATCACATTCGGATAACAAAATGATAAAGTATATAATAATATATAAAAAATATCGCCGTTTATGTTGTTTTCTAATTCGATCGGATCTTATCAGTACATGGCGCAGCAATCTAAAGAAATTCTTATTTCTTAATTTTTCTCAGAACCACCCGAATATGTTGAGATTTTCACGAATTCGGGAAGTCTTGGCGGAAACACATTTAGAAAAGGTGAGAGATTGGAAATCAATTGCAAGGCTAAATCTGGACGACCAGCAGCGAATTTATCTCTATATCTTGGTTAGTATATTTATTATTCTAAAGAAACGTGTACTTTTTTCCAACTTTTTGATCTCTTATAATAAAGATTTACATAAATAAAAATAAGAAAATGACTAAAAAATGTAATTTAGATAATATATTATACATATAACCTAACTAAAAAAAACTAATTATATAATCTCTCAAATAATACAATAGATAGAAATAACACAATAGATATACGCAATATAAATAATAGAAAAATGAAATTATTCCTGTTTTGAACATTTAGACGACGAGATGATAGACAACGAAAGAAACGTTGTCGAAACTAGAGTGAACACCGATTTACCAGTCGTAGCAATGAAAAACGCTACGCGCAATTTAGATTGGACCGATAACGGCAAAATAATAAGATGTATAGCCTATCACATCGCTCTCGACAGACCCATAGAACAAACTAAGCCTCTCGAAGTATATTGTAAGTTATCATCTTTATAATATAAACCTAATATTTATTTATTGACGTTTGCTTTACTATTTTCTTAAATTCTATTTTGTTTCATCTGTATTTTTATTCTGCTTCACCTTTTAGAATTTGTAATTTTCTTTAATGTTAATTTTTAGCTACTAGTAAAATTTATATGTTTATTTGATAATGGAATACCAATTTACTTAAATTAATTTTTACGTTAATGAATTTGAATTAAAAAATGTTTAATATTTTTTGACATAAAAATTATTATATTGTAGATACTATCTTTAATCTTTAAATGTACAATTAAATTTAAGAGCTATGTCTTTTTTTAGATCCACCCCAAGCACAACCGACTTTTGAACGTTTCGGATATATAATTGGCAGACAAGGAATCATCAACGTCACCGTTTATGCGCATCCTAGGCCGCGATTCACATGGCGAGTGAACAACGAAAGAATTGAAGAAGGTCATCCCGACGAAAGTAATCGATTGGAAACTTCAACCGCCGTCGATTTAGTAAGTTTTCTTCTCTAAATTTAAATGAGTCAATTACCCGTTAAATATTTATAATTACACAGATTGGCTGATAAAATTTCACAATCTAGAAATAAAGATGTATTTTTTTTTAGTTTTTAATATTAAATATCTCTCTTTGATTTGATCTATAAAATTTTAATACAAGAAAAAGACATTTATTCGTGATTTTATTTTAGAAACATCAAGAAAAGCACTTACTATTTTAAGTTGTTTTTAAATAATTAAGCTTGGATTAATTCTTCGTTAAAAAGAAACAATCTTGAAATCCTCTGTCAAAAAAATATCGTTGTAATTTCCATATTTCATTGATCATCCTAACATATTAAAACGATCGTCGCCGCGATGTAATTTTACAGTGCATTTGGTGACTCGATTTGGCGAAACGTTGAGCAGAACGCGTCGTTGTCACCAGTCGGTGATTTGTTTAAGAGACTCGAGTCATTCTCTTTAGTGACAAATAAAACGTAGGTAGAAGAAACGCACAAGCCCAAGAAATAATTGACGATGAAAGGGAAGAGCAACCGGATTGGCGGAGGCAAATGAAACAGAAATCCAATATTGCGCTGCGACTTCGGCGGCGAGCCTCGATTTACCGATTCGCCCGATGCATTCTCCATGCAGCTGTGTGACAGCGCGCGCGGAGTGCAGCGCTGTAATGAAATTCCATTGAATTCAGACACGGCGAATCGATCGAGCATCCACGCGATCGCACGGAAGGTCTCGAGCCTCGGAGGCGTTTGTTCCTCACCCATTGTTTTGTTAGCAAGAGGCGGTTTGTTCATCCCGTAGTTACGGTTTAAATGGATTTGCCGATCTTGCAACTTGCACTTTTTAATTAGTTCGGGATGAACGGAAGTGGAACATCCGTCGCTTCTGAATGCACCGGCTGTATTCTTGTTCCTCTGAATCTATTTATTAAATCAGTTTGAGAGAAAAAAAAGGAATAGAAATCGAAAAAAAATTTAAACTTCAACATTCAATGTTGCTGAAATTCAGTTTCAAACGTTCTTTGAATGCTATTTAGAATTAGATTTGTTCTTAAGGGAAGAAATCTATGTTACAAAGAATGCAAATAGTTGAAATGCATTTCAACTTTCTTTTTCTCCTCTCGTTATTTTATTTTATTTTTTTTTCTTCAATCTAATACTTATGTAAAATCGGGAATTTTATCGCCAAGCGCCAGCTGCTCGGTACATCGCGACGGAAGGTCGCAGAAAGCTGGCAAACTTCCGAACAAATAAGCGAGCGCACGAACTCGAGTGCGCGAGAAGGAGGGTCGAAGCGTTAATCGAGCGGCACGCGCGCTGCAAACCGGCCGAGTGCATTCAATGACGCAGGCTATTCCCCGGTCGAGGGTGAGAGATCTCAATGGCGTCCGATGATTTCGTCGAGAACTCGCGATTTGGGTTCAAACTTTCGGAGCGAATGGCACACTTGTGCGAGCGTAACGTTCTAGACAACGGCAGCGTGTGCCAGAACCAATAAAAGCCACCGCCACCGTCGGCAACCGGCGCTGTTCTGCAACCCGGCTTCGGCTCGTGTATGAATGGCTTTCAAATAGGCTTTGCGCAGCCCTCACAAGTCTGCAAGCAACTTGCAGCGGATTACTGACCAAGCGCTGCGACGTACCGCGCCATCGACGAATACGAATCAGCTTCCACTCTGAAAACGTAATTACTAACAGTGAGCCGGACGATGAGAGGAGGGAGAGCTCGGAAAGGCTCGGCATACCGCTTTCGTTCCTATAGTAGTGCTCGAGAACAACGCTCGATGAAATATCGAGATCCACCAAATGGATTTTTTCTCGATTAGAAAACTGTAGAAATAAAGCAAAAAATTTAATAAAGATTGATAGAATTTTAAAAAATGAAATATTTTCATTGTTGTAAAAAGTGGCAGAGATGAAAAATGCAATAGAAATTAAATTCATTTAATTTGAGAAAAATAAAGCTAATACCGAATATTTATTCGATTACAAAGTTGTAAGACTAAACTTTTTTTTTTAATTATAGTAGATAATTCTCTCAGACTGTCAATATATAGAACGTCTTCGATTCACCAACTAATGAAAACCTTTTAGTGCAGAGTCTTCTTGTATTTAATAGGATGCAACTAACTTTAATTTGTTTTTTTTTAAATATTGTAGATACTATATCCAGGTAGCAAGACTGATGACAAAATACCGATAAATAACAGCTTGCTATTACCTGAATAATTATTTGATAAACATACAAAACATATATGATAACCAAACTTTTTTATTGCCTCATATGTATGTATATACAATACACACACACACACACACACACATATATATATATATATATCACAGTCAAAGTGTTAATTTTAATGAACATATACTATACATTGACGACAGAAAATTACAGTAAGTGTATACATTTACTGAGTTAACACTTTTTGTGTATACAAAGAATTTATAGATCCTTTTTTTCTTTGTTTCTCTCTTCCTGTAACGAGTGCTATAATTATCAATTTATCTCTTTTTAATATATGGATTACAAAGATTGTGCAAAAACTCGTAGATTAATGGTGAAAGCTTCCGAATAATTTATAGTGGACGTACCTTCGTGTGCGCGCAAGGCGACACTTTAAAGGGCTTAATTAAAGGGTGTAATTAATGAGCGATGGCGCGTGCAAAATTAAGAGCGCAACGGAACGGGATCTGATTGATGTAGATGTGTCCGTAACACGAAGCAACATTTTACAGGGGAAAGGAGCATGGAGCGTAATTCTGACGATCGACAGTGTTCAGAAATCCGATACGGAAAAGGAGTACATGTTGATGGCGACCAACAATGAGGGATCGAATGAATATCGTATCGTTTTGTCGACATCCCCAGAACCAGCGGGTAAGTTATTCGACAAATCCGATTTACGTGAGTTCTTTTCCATTGAAAGCGTCACACCGTGCACCTAGAAATGCGAATCTTGTATATATCGAAAATAATCGGCGCACCACAAAAATATCATGATAACTGGCAGTACAAAAATGGATAACATTTCTAATAATTTAATTAATCGATCAATTGAAAAGAATAATTTTGATTTTTATAACATATTTTAAATTATTTGGCGACCAGACAGATTTCAAATATGAAGATTTTTCTATAGAGATATCTTCATATTTGAAACACAATCTCTCTATAGAAAATGTATGAAAAATTTTTATTCGTCTTACCATAATAACTTATGAGATTGATTCCGATAATTATATTAAAAATTAAATTTTTTAAGAATTCTAACTCTGTTACTTATTTATATTTTTAAAATAGAATCCGTCAAGAATCTCTTAAATGATCTTACATTAAACTCACTTGACATGATTACAATATGAGATATTTTTGAAATATGTGCCTCACTCAAATTGAATTATTATTTTTTCGAATCTTAATATATGATAGTAAGTGGATGATAGGTAACACTCGAACAATTAATAAACCACGCTTTATTCATATATATATTTTTTTTAATTGCCTGAATCAACCGGTATTCACACTTGGCTGTCCACTGATCACCCACTACTATATCACGATCATAATCATGCCATCGCGATCTCGCACGTAAAATTGCGGCTATCGATCGTCGTAATCGCCATGAGATGATCGCCCACTGACCATCACACATACACATGCGCCTTTGAAAATATGTTCCGTTTATGTTTATGTGCGTGTCTAACCATATCGATCCTTCACCGCATGCTCACGCAGGACCGCTCAGTAACCTCTATGGTAAGCTCTCCGAACACATGCACGCACTAGGTAATGTCATTTTTTCAAATTACTATACGTAAGTAGTCTGTGTAGTCATGTAAACGCGCACGGCGTTCCGTGCACAGCGGTTTGACCAGGTGAAAATCGTGGATGATCACATCGGGAAATTAATAACCGCTATTTGACTAAGGGTGTAATACACGTCGATCACGAGAGATACACGTTGACATTGATCGAGCGACGAGTAATTTACCAATTTCAACGCACGACCGCAAGTCTTGATTTCGTCAACGTAGATCGAATCGAATCGGATCGCACGAAACGCTGTGTAGTGAAATATGAGTATATGTCGCACTACAATATTACGTTTAATACTTACTTCAATACAAAATTATACAAAATATTTTACAACTTGATTTTAATAACAGATTATTTATCGAATTTAGAGTAGTATTTTTCTTAGCAAAAGTATCAAAAGTGATTAACATTTTTATAAGTTTTTTTCTAATTTAATATTTATAAAAATTTCATTAAAAAATGCAATTTTGTTGAAATTATTTAAAAATTATTGATTTTGGATAAAATATTGATGTGTGTGCGTAAGACATATTATAGAGTAAATTAAAATTGCGGAGAGATTTTATACAATATAATGATATAATTATTACTAAATGTTTAATAAACATATGCGTAAAATATCATCTCTCAATTGTATGGTATACATATATTATATACCTATATACATATATTAGTACCTTGGAAACGAAAATATTGAAGAAAAATATTGAAGAAACTTTGAGTAGATTTAAAAAATATAAAAAATTTTATTTATATTAAATTGTAAAAAAAACAGTTTGTGGTAATTATAGATGAATATAAACTTCATTATTTATTCTTTTAATTCAATTGCCATTGAAAACAATGTCAAAATTAGAGATAAAATTAAAAATTCTTTTTAAATATTAAGAAAGACTCTATAAATAATTTATAACATACTTGCACTTTACTACTTACGTATAGTTTATCATAGACATTCCATTATTGCAAATAAAAATAAATTATTAGTTGTTACGCTTAAAAATTTCAATCTTAAATTTTTCATGTGTTACATTCTTTTCCTTTTGTATCTATTACTTTGTCAGATTCTACCATTGTTTTCCAAGGCATTGATATAACATCAAATGTCGCATAAATACAAAGAACTACGATAACAAGAGACACGTTTTTTCTGCGATTTACAGGCGTTGATTTGGACGCTGGATCCATCATTGGTATCGTCGTGGGCGTTCTGGTGCTTGTACTCATTATTTTCCTTGTAATCTTTGCACGTGCGACTGGCCGCTGGTGTTTTGCAGGTGAGTCAATTTAGAAATGTAGATACTCGGTAAAGAAAAACCCTATTTAGATTACATATTATACGTATTATATATGTATATATATATATATGTCAGTCTTATCATTTTTCTTTCGTACTCCCTAACGATTTGGTTGCACGAGAACGGTCAGGGAACGCAAACACTGTAGAGTCGGAAATACAGTAAAATTTGAGTAAGAGACGTCGTTTGCGCAGGACGAGAAACTTTTCGAATAAACGCGAGTTCATTAAAATTATCGGGATTGTATACAGCAAATTATACGAAAAATGAGAGTCGGGAAAAAGATGAATTACAGAACTGAAAAAAAGTAAACTTTTTGATAGCAAAATATACAGTTTACTTTATTTATATTTCTTTTACATCTTTGCTATTCTCTGCTACCTCTTTGACTAAATTTATAAAATTTTTATAATTATTAAAAATAGCTCCAAAATTGGAAATCAATAGAACGTTAGATGAAAAAAAACTCATCGCACTGAATATTACGAAAACAATGATTTTGTTGAAATATTTAAAAACTTAGCTAAATACGTACAAATCAGAAAATAATTTTATTGGATCATTAAAATAGTTATGTAAAAGATTTAAGCATGATGGGCAATGTTATTAAAAGTTTTAACATTCTAACAACCTCTTGACGTTCTACAATATAATTGCTTTGATAGTTCAACAAAAGTATTTTTAGATCTGTATCTAATTGTTTAGATATACTTCAGCGCAAAATGGTTCTTTCTGTATCAGTATATCAAGATTTATTATAGTATAGGGAGAAGAGAGGAGGAGATGTTAAATAAGTAGAGAATAAGTCATGGAAGATCATTGTTGCAATTTACCATTTGCATTTTTTTAATGATATTTGTAGCTCTAATATTAATTTAATTCTTATTTAAACAAATTGAGAGAGATTGCTATGACATTTTTTTGACATGTAGTAAATGTACAGTAAAAGCTTGTTTTTATTTCTTTCGCGAACATATTTATACATAATTCGAGAAAAATTTCTGAAGCTTTATGTACAATATTCGTTAGTAGATTCGTTAGTATAAAATAAATGATGAAAGTAAAATCCTTGATATTTAAAAATATCCAGAGAAAATATTATATATGGATATGAAAATAATATGAAATAATATGAAAACGAAATAATTGCTCGACTTAAAAGTTGAAATGCGATGAAACAACTTATGTATTACTCGTCACTTTCTTGTTGTGATTGTTGTTGTCGCTGTTGTTGTTACTTTATTACCACATAGTTCATTACTATTGTTTCCGTTAACGTTGCGCTACGATCGCGTGGATCGCAATGTCTGCAGTATGCGATTAGCCTAAACGCGAGGTAATTATCACAGCGGTAGCACAGTATGCGCGTGCAGTAGAAACGTATATACTGGATTTAATTAGTACGCTCCAAAGCAACTGTAATGCTGTTATACTTTAATATATATGTTATATAATATAAGTACGTATATACATATAATATAATACAATACATATCTATACAATAAGAGTATATTTTTATATCTGAACGTATACAAATGTCTTATGTGTTGTGCCGCTACGCCGATATAGGACAGCATGCGAGTCGGGCCAAGTAAAGAATACGGAGATACGTCAACGATTACCTTGCGATTCCGTACTCTAGGCATGACACTGTCCAGGGGTAAGTCACCTCAGGCAGGCCGAGAGAGGCAACCTTCTTTCCCCTGACAACCTACCCCGCCCCCTATTTCTCTAAAACAATGCTCGTTCTCGTTCATCATCGACCCGTCCGCTCGCTCGTCACTTCTTTTTCTTCGCGATCATTTTTATCAGCCTCACGACACCCTCTCTCGTTCTCTCCGCGCCTCCATCACCTTCAGCGCCGGCTTATCGACGACCGCGGCCCCATCTACTCGTTTAAGTGGTAGACCCTCCCCCTTCAAATTTAATACACTTTTCGCTTCTGCTCTCCTCGCGCTTCTCATCTCGCAAGACCTCCCTGACGTGTTCTCAAATTTTTATGCCGCACTATCATTTTTATTTGTGGCACGTGTCGATACCGAACCGTTTTATCGATTTATAGCTTGCGTTTTATATCGCCGATAAATATCGTTTCCTCCGATTAATCGATCGTGCTTCCGCCGCATTCTCGCTTTCGTTAGCCAAGTTCGAGGCTGTAACGCGCACGATTTTTGCCCGTTTCTTCTCTCCTCCGCGTTGTTTTATGGCTACTTTTGGCATGGAATCGCAAACTATCTTGCCTGTATTATGAAGAGGAGACTTAGAAAGACCTGCGCAAAATATGATACCCAGTAAGCCAGGGAAAAAAGGAATATTTTTCATGAAGCACGAAAGACATTTTCATAATGGAGAAAGATTGAAGCCACTTTAGTGCGCTTGGTAGTTTTAAGAATTCACTTTCTTTAACGAGAAATGTTCTATATTTTCTCTCACAATATTGCGTGGCCTAATTTACGGTCTGTAATCGAAATGTATCGCGCGTATCGAGGATTCCGGTAGAAACCACGAAGACCGCAGAGTTTAACGGCGAAACTTTTATGGCCGACACTATTTCAGGCAATTAAAATCGCCCGAATGTTAAAAAAAAATCGTTCTCCCGATATTTGAAAACCTCACGTTTAATTATTCCATAGGAATGTTTTTAAATATTCTGATAAAGCCCTGGTCTGCAGAGTAAATTTGACATTCAAATTCATATATTTTCACGAACTGACAGTCGCTCCATTTTCCGTTGCGTATTGCTAAACGAAGCGGTAAACACAAAGCACAGAATCAATTGAAACGCGCACGATCAAAGTTAGGATAATTTGCGATCATACAATTTATTTAATCTGATTTTTGTACCAATTATCTAATTATATCCGGAGAATTATGCGTATTGTCGTTTTTTTTATATAATTAGTATAGTACTGACTTTCTATATATTGTTTTTATTTTAGTTACTTGATTTAATCTTTTTCAATGTGAAGAAAATATTTATTAATTCTTATTTTATTTTTGAAGTAATTGAAGTATATACATATAAAATAAACACTTACTTATATATTTTTATATATATTTTTAAGTTATATTTCCAATTTTTTTTAGTACAGTAATTAAAGTACAATAATTATATAAATTATTTAGGATTTAATATTTAAATATTGTTTTATTTTTTTGTACAGTACACTCCAACGATCTTTGGCTATGACTTCCGTCATCGATATCAAATCAATAGCTATTACTCCTTACCCGAATCGCATTTGATACACGGTCACGTCATCGAATTTCATCTGCATGTCAATAGTATCTGCTCTGTAGTTATTCAACGATAATTTAAACATACTTATTGCAACGTGTTCATGATTATCTTGTACATATATACGTCTCTCATGCGAGCCTTATAGCCTGTTTACGTAATTTAATTTGTTAGCATGTCATTTGTAATATCATCACGGTATCGTCACTTATAATCGTTCTTCGCTTACATTGCAAAAGTACTGTATTATGAAATTGGTAATAATGATAATATATACATATTATTATTTATCTCTGCACATATGGATACCGCTGCAAAATCTGTAGCAAGAATTACGATACAAAGCTGCGATACCGTTAAAAACTCGAGTGGTGCGAACATGCTGTAAGCTATTGAACGAGAACACATAGCGTTCCTTTTCTTTTCTTTCTCGCAACAAGCAACGATAAGCAATCGGCAAAGGCAAGTGTGGTGAAATTGTTCCCGTGCAGAAACGACCGGTCCGTCCGATACCAATTACTTTCCGCGTGCTTTCTGATATTGCTCGTCGCCGTTTTAACGTCTTTTTAGTTACAATTGGAACTGCGATCTTTCTTTCTTTCACCTCTTCAGATTCTGAACGTATAAGCATGTTTGTCACCTTAAAAACCCTTTCACTGTTTATCTACATCTTCCCCGTGCGCAGATTGCGTGTGTATCCTTTGCTATATTTGCCAATTAACGTCGAGAGATGCGACGACGTGTTTTCTTAATTACTCGGATTTATCTTGCTTGGATCGAGATTTATGTTAGTGCAATTGACCATGCCTGTGAATGTTACAATACATTTTTTTTAACAATCGTTAATTCGTACTTTTTATATATATGTTACGCACGAGCGATGCAAATTGAATGTCTCATCTCAGTAGAAATAGATAATGTAATTAGATACAGTAATGCCTTTTTATCTCGGGCATCATGACATTTACACTATACACACTCGATACACTTCGAAAATACGTATTATGAGTAAGGCAGCACGATGTAATGTGCCTCGAACAATTTGCACCAGGAGTTGTTACATTAATTACATAATGAATATTAGAGACTTCCGTGTTAAACGTGCATTAAATACTTAACTCCATAGAAAAGTACAAAAAAAAACACGTGATACTTTTTAATAATCGAGTTTTTTATTTTTCTCGTTTAGATAGAATAATGAATCAAAAGATCAACTTATAAAATTTCGATTCGCACGAATTGAACATTAAAGATTAATGTTTCGAGCTTTTTATCTTGCATTCTCGCGAGTAGCATTACTGACCGAGATATTTTATGGTTCGCAAGAACAAAATATTCGCTTAGTTGCGAGGTGTACAAAAAGACGTCGCGCGACAGATAGACACCCGAACAATATTGATTCGTTGACAAGATAAACGGCGCTCGATAGTCGACGCGAACGGTGATATCGCATTCGCAAAGCATTCACAAAGAAAAACGGTGAAAGAGGGAGAAAAAGATAAAATACCCACACACGCACATTTGCCTTGACCGATCGTGGCGTTGCTTGTTGCAGCGAGGCGTCGCGGCGACGAGGAGACTGCGGGTGACGTCGGCGCCGGAAGCGAGGCGCACATCACACCCGGCGATGAGGACGAGGATCAGGAGGACCCGCATATCATCGACGAGAAGGTACCGCAGGGTGGCCAAGAGAATCCAATACACACGAGCACCGAATACGTGAACGGCCGTACGGACGTCAAAGACACCAAGAAGGATGAGAAGACAGACACGCCCGTCTAAGAGAGAGATTTAAAAAAGAAAAAAAAACAAGAGAAGGGACGCATTCATCTCGCCTCGTTTCCTCCCTCTCTCTCTCTCTCTCTTTTTACCTTTCCTTCGTACGCAGGAAAACCGAGCTGTCGCACTTTACCGCGCCAGACTTTAGCAGTAACGATCCAAGTTTCCCCCGGTGATTTCCGTTTTTGCGTGCAAAACGTGCGGACACTTTCGTTAACCATTTGCAATCGGAAGTTGACTCGCCATAGAGTGGTACGCTACTTATTTCTCATTCCCATTCTCACAGGACGAGTAAGGTAGAATAATTTTAACCCTCTCGTTCTTTTCGCGGTAGCCAGAAGAGCCACCGTATTAAGAGATTACATGTAAGAATATACAATAAACTAGAGAGTTATATATATATATATATATAAAATTTCCGTAACACGACTTTGTCACGACTTTGTCGTATAATTGACTTGTTTGAATGTGATTCTCTGAAATGCCTAGGGTAATTATATAACACGATGGACTAGAAAGACTTAAGAGATTATATAAGAGAAGAAAAGAGAACAAGAGATTATATTATATAAAATTAAAAGAAATATATATATATATAAGACGTGTAATCTATTGTATCACTGTATCAATAATAATCAATACATATAAAAGTGGTTTTAACGTGTAAAGATAATTTGAGGATGAGGGGGTTAAAATATTGCCTATCTTGACAATGCTAAAAGTAGTTAATATTTAATGTATTTATTTTAACAGTGATGAAAGAAACAAAATTTAAAGTTACAGGAAACCTTTTTTATAACATAAAAATGACAAATTTTAATCATTATGTTTTATACGATAAATATTTTCTTCTTAAAAGTTTCACTACATTTAATTTTGTTTTCAATGAGAGAAAAAAGGTTATTTGTCCATTCTTATCATTCTGATGATAAATTTTCTGTTATCTATGAATGCCTTTCATCCTGTGAACGTCTTTGCAATGTATAAAATAATCATTTTTTTATACAGTTATATCATACTTTACCAAAAAAACGACCATGAAAGTATCTGGCGAAATAGCTCTCGTAAACCTGTGCGCCCTTCGAATCGATCGACAGCATTGATCGAAACTTTTTACTGGGAAACGAATTATGATTTAATCATGCGTCGCCTTCTCATTTCTTCTGATGGCAGCCGGTTAGACCTTTAAGTACGACCGTAAGTGTTCGCGTCGAGGAAGCTTGGTTCTCGATCCGTCGATATATTCGGCTATGACGTTCCGAATCTCCCCTCAATCGCTAGTATAATAAGAACAAAACTGCTCGGCAAATTCGTTTTCATTTTTTTTTATTTCATGCGTGTATGAGAGTATTAACAGGATCTCAAAGTGATGTGTACACGCATAATTTTAGACTCATTATTCGCAGGGGTATTTGTTAAGATTTCGAGAACTGAGTTGATTATACTCTGATCTAATCGTATTAATTATGTAATTTTATATAAAATATTTAAAAACTAGAATCTCTTTTGTAAGAAAAGAGTGGATATATAATGTAAATCTTGATTTTTTTTACGAATGAGTGTCGAGATCAGAAGATTTTTACCGCGATTTGCTCGCCACTGGACGCATGTGATTTTTCATGCTGAACTTAGCGATGATTATAAAATATAGCTATGACAAATTTCGCGCGGGGACGCGCCGTTCCCGAATTACGATAGGCATCCTCACAATAACCGGAACAAATCAAATTACGCAGCCGAGCGAACTTTTTATAAACACACTAGTAAAAAAACACACATACATACACATTCATACGCATACACGTTAATTGTTATACACGATAAGATATTACATACGCACACACATAAATACTTGCACGTTTACTAAATCGTTAATGGGAGCATTATTTTTGTTTATAAAAGTGTGCTCTACTTTTGCTGCCTTATTAATCTCCAATTGTAACTCGAATTTTGAATCAACTTTTAGAATCGAAAATGAGGTATCGGTTTAATTAAATGAGGTTAATAATTAAGTCAAAATTTTACAGTAAACTTTTACAGTAAAACTTAAAATTAAAAAGATTGAAGTCTAAAATCTAAAAGTAAATATCAAAATAAATTTATCAATTAAAAAAAATATATTTAATTTTAATTAAACTTTATTTAATTAAAAAAATTATTTTCAAATTCTAGAAATTGTCAATTCAAAATTCATGAAAATACCATATAATCTCGTATTTGAATTTTTGTCTCCAATTTTTATCTCGAAAATCTCCCATTGACGTTCAATCTGATAAAGGTTAAATTTTTTTGCTTTAAAAAGCGATATATACATGCAGGAAACAATACGTGTGTGCGTATTTGTATCGCTAAGGCAAAAGAACACATTCCTTAAGATATTTCCCTTGAATTCACTCGAAATATTTTTGTGAATCTTTGTGAAATGCGTGCATAATACTGTGATCACATATGTTTTGGTTTTCTATGAAATATCGTGTTTCCATCGTGTTTGATTATCAAGAACGATCGAATCTCAATGAAAGAGATTTTTTTTCTATCTTAACAGTTTTATCATATGTCCTCTGATCTTAGTGCTACGAAATTTTTACTATACAAAAAAAGAAACGAATTTTAAGATTTTAAGATATGTTCGTATAATATTAGTAAATGCGACGATAGCATATAAATGAACAATAGAAACGATGTTCGCGAAATTTCGAAAACGAAGATGCGATCGTATCTTTATATTATTAGGCACAACTATTATTATCCTTTTGTATTGTAACGTTTTTATGAATATTGTAACATTTCTGACGTATTTTACTGTGTGCTTTACTTAAATGCATTTTATTGGAGAGAGATCTTTTTACATGTTACGTATATACATATAGTACAATAAGATTATTGCGCGAGTATACAGAATGTTGCGTAAGTTTTTAAACAAGAATGTATACATGTAAGTTACTTATCTAATTCTAACGAGTTTGTGTAGACAGGAGTCTATCAATTTGCCGAAAAGATGCGACAAAATAATTATTTCAAAATATATTTATAAAATTTTCTGTTGAATATTTCGAATTTTTGTTATCTTGCTATTGTTCAATTTTATGTTCCTGTCTTCCTGACTCTTACATAACTTACGAAACATCCTGTGTATAGTTATAGCGATTAAACGTTTAATGACGTTTCGATTATTACGTGACCTTATAAGATATGAATTTCACTTAGAAAGAATCTCATTTATGAAATGAATTATATGTAATAATTATTGCTTTTTATAAAAAGTGCGATTTTATATGCGGCGTTTAATAAATGCATTTGAATCCGACCGTGGATCATACGATTGACGAACATAATCGAGCCAATAAGATTTATATGATATTCTTATGATATATATGATAAAACAAACTATATCCCTCCGTACGTCATTAGACAGTATTATATATCAACCGGCAATTTCCGTTTAACGTAACGTTTTCATTTTGCGTATTTTCTACAATACATGTACATGGTTACTATTTGTAAAAGCGACACTTGTGGTTATAGAGAGATAACTACGAAATTTTATATAAAAAAGACGTATCTTTTAATTTCAGTAAATTAAACCTTTTTTTCAACAACACACGCAATTTATTTCACTTATTGGATGGCAAATATAATTAATGCGCTGTTTGTACAAGTTGAATCATATCTAGAGGAATGATATGAATTTATAAGTACAATTGTGATAATCAAATTTTTAAAACTTGTCATATTAAAAATTTGTGCGGAAGGTGTTTCATATATTAAATATATCGAATCTTTATATTGAATATATTACCAGCAGCGCGATATTAAATATATTTCCCATCCAATAATATACACATTTTGCGGAATTATTGAGAGGTTTGCATCGAGCTTCTAAAGCGATAAAATTAAAAAAAATATATTAAATTGAAATTATGATATTTAAAATTACGTAGTTTAATCATTTTGAAGAAACCCTAATAGAGATTAAATGTAAATAAAGAATTTTTTTTTTCTAACAATATTCGATTTTAATTTAATATAATTTCATTTTTAATGCTTTAGTTAAAAATTAAATCAAGATATTTAATGTTAACCCTCTTGATAGGTGACTCCATTTTAATTTAACTTGTGTTAATTAAAAAAATAATTAATTTCAAGAAATCGAAATGGCATTATAAAGAATAATTATAAAAGTAAAGATATTAAGTGAAGATATTTTAATAAGAGTAATCCAAATTTTTTTTACAAAAATTTGTAACGTTAAAGAAGATTGAATTATTTGACATTTTTAACAAAGAGATTTATAATTCAGTGTCCTATAATAAATGCATTTGAATCCGACCGTGGATCATACGATTGACGAACATAATCGAGCCAATAAGATAAACATATTTTTTAATCCCTCATCATTTTCGAAGAGTTAAAGAATATAGCAGTGAATTTCAATTCTCCATTATTTTATTCTCATTCATATAAAGAAATACTTTTTTCGATGCAAATCTTACAGAGACACTCTATACGCATTTACTGCAAATATTTTTTAAGGCGCATCAATAACACTACGAAAAAAAGTTCCTTCTCGTTCGAGGTGAACTTCGTAAATATTATCTTATTATTTCTTCCGGCAATAAGTGTCGTTTGTACTTTTGTACAGGTGACTTTTTCTTAGCTAATCACAATTGTGCAAATTTAAATGAAATACTCGTACATATTTACACACACTTACATGCACGCATACATATACACACACACACGCACACACACACACACACTATGTACAACGTAGATCTCGTCGGCATCGCGTGAAAGAAAAAAAATTGCATAAGAACCAAAAGACGGATTCTCTCATATTCCATTCATCGATCATACATTTCCGAATTCTGCATGCTCCTCCGCCGTTTTTTTTTTGCGATGCATTCGTGTTTTCACTTACAAGAAAAGAGCCGTGTTAAGACCGATGGGATCATCGAGGTTCTTGTCAGGGATACGATACGATTATTAAGAATATGGTAAAGAATTGATCGCATTTCGCGAAGCACGTGTTTCAGGCGAATTTTAAAGAAGAACGCCGATGCAGCTCGTCGGTCGCGACGGTTGAATCTCTACTGCGTGTTGTACATACTCTAAATATATATATAAATATAAATAAATAAATAAAGATATATATAAATATAAATATATATTATAAATCTAACGATATGAGATCGCGAAT